ATACGGGCTCAACCTGCCCAGCCTCCCCTGGATGCCCCGGGTGTACGGGCTAGGCAGTCAGCCGGGTTGGGTGGGTTGGGTGGTAATGCTGAGGTTGCCTGCATGTCTCGTTTATTCACATCTTCTGCATCCGAGTCGGCTTCGGTTATCGATGGAAGCGGAGCTGAGCCTTCTTGATTTCCCCTTCGTAGGATGCGCGTAGGTCTCGGATATGAAGGGTGCACGACAGAGGGGGGTTCGTACGCTTGGTTGAAGTGTCTCATTTGGTTTAGCATTCGTTGGATTTTGCAGGACACACTCCCTTCCCACACATCAACTTGCCACTCCTTGTATCGATTGCTCGTTGTGCGAACCATGCGAGAATTCAGTGGTCGTACACCAACCTGGGCCACGGCCCCAATGATAGTCCCAGCCGACAGAGTGAGAAGCCTGTTGCTGATGTTGGTCACTTTGTACGCACAGGGAACGCCATGCGAGTCTGCACACAACGAGGGAACCCACCGTGCTGAACGATCCACCCAGTATTCCACACCACTGACTGGAGCATCGTTAAGTTTAGGGAGGTCCATCGTCATGAATTCACCAGCGCCCAGTTCCATAGTGTACCGAAGTTTGACGTAAGAGAGAAACGAGGTTTCGTACTTGATACCTTCCGTGAGTAGAGGGACGTACTCTCCATCTGGAAGCTGAATTTCTCGATTGCCGGTATCGATGACGAAGCCAGCCTTGGACATGAAATCCATCCCGAGTATCATTTCAAACTCCACCGGCCCGATATCACACACTGCCAAGCTGAAGATGAATACAATGCCGCGCGCGATGGTAAGCTTGATTGTCACCATGCCAAAAGTGCTGACACAATTCGGACCGAGACCATTGATGCCGATTCGTTTGGATGTGTCCACCTTCAAGTTCAAACGTTCTGCCATTCGTCTATGGATAACACTGAGGTTGGCGCCAGTGTCAGCCAGTATGCGGGCAGGTACGTTCATGATTGCGGCATCGAGGAAAGTTTGGTCGCTTCGAGCTCGACCGCTGAGATCCGACTTTCCCCAGAATCCAAGTTGTTCTCCTTCCAACAAGTCGAACTCTTCAGGTAGGGACTTCGTGGAGTTGGTGAAACACACTCGCGGGACAAGAGGTGGGGAATCGTAAGATGTATTGCAAGTTAGAAGTTTCGCACGACAACATGCAGAAAGGTATGGAGAACCAAGATTCACGGCGATTTGGTCGTACTCCAAAGAACAAGTTTGTGAACAAGGCCGTGGGTGCTCTCCTCCGGTCCGTTAAATGCAGTTCGTCGTTTGTGTGGGGTAGCAATGCTGAACGTCGAGAAGCTTTTGCCACGGCCGATCGCTTTGGCCAGCCAAGTCTTTTCGTCACCATCACGTCAAACGTGGATGGCACAACCACTTTGGCAGGCGGCATCCATGTGAAATCGCTGTTTGATGTGGACTACTTCAAGCACACGCCTGACAAAGCAACCATGCAACAACTTGCGATGAACGACAACATGGCGTCCGCAACTCTGTTTGATCGAAGCATCGAGGCGTTCACCAATGTCGTTGCCGGTTTTGACAAGACTACCGGTCGACCAAGAAAGTCTGGCGGACTATTCGGCCATGTCAAGGCGTACTTTGGAATGGTTGAGACCCAAGGTCGAGGGACGCTTCACTTGCACCTTCTTGCTTGGGTTTATGGCGCTCCACGTTCCACGTCCGAGTTAGGCCCGATTGCAGGCAGATCTCAATTATGAAGCGATGGTGCTGAAGTACTCTGAGGGCATTGTGTCCAATTTACTGCTCATTGACCTCCTTCAGACCCCCTGCAAGGCGTGTGAACATGTAGATACCAAGTATGAAGCGCTCGACCCTCCCTCAACAGCCTTCGAAAAACCACGTCGCTCAGAAGGCGCCGTTCCGAAAGAGACCATTATGGCCAAATGTGACATTGCAACGCTATGGTCAGCTCCCAGCACTTGGTTCGGCAAGCCCTCCTGCATTCGAGGCCAACAGTATGGCCTGTGGAGTTGCCCAAGCTTTCTCAGCCTGCAATTGACAAGTAATTGGACGAGGAAGCATCGTTTTTGAAGTCTACAGCTGGAAATAAGTATGACCCCGTGCGAGCACATGACCACATGCGTGCAAGCTTCCAGGCTTTCCTAGCTGGAACTGTCCACATGGAATCCAACGTCGGCTACCAAGAGCTTCTGGCTGGTGCGCGAGCAAGTCTCGAAGAGTCCAACACAGCTTCGAATACGTATGTTGCACCCGACAAAGACCCGTTTTGTTTGGATCCCATCTACCTCGAGCTGTCGAGCATGCAGTTTGCACCAAATGAGACCCATCTACCTGACGAGACGGTCTTGTTTTTCATTGCCACGTTGGCATCAGTGTTGCAAGTGCATTGGTGGTCGCATTGCTCATCGTGCTTCAAACAAAGCCGCAACACAAGAGGTGCGCACTTGTGCCGGTATTTGTTCCCTCGGGCCCGAGTTGAAGTTGGACACATTGGCACGTCTGCAATCGTGCTCGTGAGGAAACTCAGAGAAGAGTACATCAATGGATACAGCGATGTCATCCTTCGTGCGTTCTAGTGCAACCACGACATTCAAATCATGATCGGTGGGGCTGAAATGGCTGAGCGCATCTACTACGCCTACAAGTACACCACCAAAGTCCAGCAGAAGGTTGAATGTCGAACGGCCCTGGCACTCGCTGCTTTTGGCACGCGTATTTAGCGAGAACTATCAGCAGCTGAAGGTGGAGAGGCTCTGTCCGATGAAGTCAAGTGCCGTCGTCGCTTGGCGTCTCACATGTTCAACATGACCAGAAAACAAGAAGTTGCTGGTCCGCTGTGTGCCTTGTACCTGTTGCGCGAGTCGTGTGCTTACACCAGCCACTTTCACAAGAAATTGTCGATCCGACACTTGCTGAAGTTCTTGCACCACCACAGCGACACTCCATTTCAACTTGAAGTGACCACCAATATCAAGAACAGCAATGGATCGTGTTTGCAACTGGAGGAAAGTAACGCTTCTGACATCGAATCCTCCAACGACGGGTCGGAAAGTGTCTCCTCTGACCTGAAAAGTGACGACGAAGAAGATAATTC